TATCAATGTGTTATACTTTTTTGCTTCAACTGTCGAACACAATTTTAAAAACTCGAGAAGAAAAGTATATTATATTTACCCACATTTTAATTTTCTGTTCTTTCTTCCTTTCTGATATCCCTAAATTCCTTCTTTTTTCATTTTCTGTTTGAAGAACTTCCTCTAGCTATGTAAGTCTATGACCCATTTCAAATAAATTTTTGTGAGTGATGTAGGATACGGGTCAATGTTCACACTCTTCCATACAGATATCCAGTTATTCCAACACCATTTGTTGAAAAGTCTCTTTTGCCTATGGTCCAGGTTTTATAGTGGTTTTCTGTGGGATAGTTGTCTTTTGGGTCATAGCTTCTTATTTGTGGAAGTAGAAGTCAAACATTCATTTTTAAACTCTATTTTACCTTGTCAAATCTGAAGTTATTACCTCAACCTAACAGATGATAAAGGAAGTCACAAAATTTTATTTCAACAGAAATAAAAAAAATCTTAAATAATTTTAGGATAAAAATATGTGAAACTGATAATATGAACATTTTCTATGTATCTACGTATGCTATCTCAGTAAAGGAGAAGGCTCAGTAAAGGAGTTTGTTACACAAACAGCATATACCAGTTTAATTCTTATTTAAAAAACAAAACACACAAAGATTAAAAAAAAAGAAAGAATGAACGAAAAAAAACCCCCCAGAAGGTCAACATGGATTCAGTTGAATTCTTATTTTAAAAAAAAAGTCAATATGGTTGATTCTACCTGATATTCCTCTCAATGAGTTTATGCCTCAGAGTCAGATTTAGATGGGAGATGTGACGCTCGTGTTTCATTTGGTTTCTGTTTCTACAAGCTGTTTAATTGTAAATATCTCATTAGGAGGACTGTGATATTTAATATTTAATAATATGCATTTTTTATATACCATGGACCCTAAAAGAAAGTAACTGCTTCATCTAGTGTTCCACCGAATTATCTGTGATGTGATCTCGATGCAGGGGTAAAAATTGG